TTTTCCCACATAATACACCCATTTGAACTTGTTGCCAACTCACTTCATCTATGTCCTTTTGCCAACCCCTTGAATAGAATAGCCTTCACTGCACTCATTTGAATGACAATAAAACTTTGTAATATTGCCTTTCAGCGCCATTTTAGGTACAGAGGACCTAGGTACAGATACTTTTAAGTGTAGTTACAGAGTAGAAAAGAAAAGTGTTGTTATAGAGTTTAAAAAGAATAGATTAGCATGGGAACAGTTGAAAAAGTCCAGAATGATAACAAGTGACAGTAAGTACTTAAGTTCCAGTCTGTGCCCGCTGGCCCCAGAGCATGAGGCCATGCTGTCTCCACGTGGCAGCCTCCATCCAGGACTCGCTGTGCCGCCGTTCTGGGAATTGGCCTGTTCACTTCGCTGCCGCCATGGGACTCAGCACACACTTGCTTTGCTCCTGGACTCCAGTCTCCAGGTAGCGCAGACGTAGGTGGGGAGGGGGGTGGTGGAGAGAATAGAAAAGCAAAGCTACTAAGAGAGAAAAATGGAAGAAAAGGGAAGGGGACTAGCAAGCAGAGGAACTCCGACTGGAGCGTCCTACTCTGCCACCAGCAGCGATCAATGTGATTGTGTCCTCTTCACAAGTTATTTTTCTACCTATGTCATCAGCAAATTTAGCAACTATACAGACTTGAATTCAAGTCATTGTTATAAATTGTAAACAACTGTGGCCCCAGCACTATGCTGAGTATCACTTCTCTCATTAGATCTTGTCAACCTTAAAATTATCATTATTTATATTTATTCTGTTTCCTGTTTGCTAACCACTCCACTGTCTGTGCAAATGTTACCCCCAACACTCTTAGTTGTTCTTATTAGTTAAGTAAGCTTGATATGGGACTGTCTCAAATGTAATCCAAGAACACCACATCCATAGCTTCCTCTTTATTCGTATTGTTTCTTCAAAGACCTCCTAATAAATTTCCCTTTCGTGAAACCATGTTGACTCTACATTGTGATTTTCTAATTGTACTGTCTATTACCTCCTTAGCAATAATCTGAGGCATTTTGTTTAGCGTCAGAGTCATACAGCATGGAAACAGACCCTTTGGCCCAAATCCTCAATGCCACCTAGGTTTCCTAAACTGAACTAGTCCCATTTGCCTGCGTTTAGCCCATATCCCTCTAAACCTTTCCTATCCATGTACCTGTTCAAACATCTTAGATCTAACCAGCAGCACCTTGACCACAAAGCAGCCGCGTGCAAGATTCGCTATAACAAGACACAACAATGCCCCCCTCACTTAGATCAACTCCCAATGGTTTGCACACTCTTGCCAGTCACACCCTGTACTGGGAGTACTTCGGCCTAGCTTTTATAGGATGAGGACCTGCCCTGCTACAAGAACGAGATTTAATCAGTTTACTTAATTAACTTAATTAGATTAAGTGGGAGAGCTTGCTTAAACTTTCCTTAGGTCTGAAAGAAACAAAATACAACCCTTAAATATCAACACTTCCTTTACCTGCAGCTTTAGATTATAAGAATGCAAAAGATTAAGATTTATACTCTTAAACTCTACATACGGTAATCCAAGATAGAGGATGGGAAAAAATTGTGGCGGTAAGAGCTGCTCTTTTTATTTGAGGTATTTTCAGAGTTGGAGCTGATTTCCTCAACTTCTAGGAGCAGTAAATTACTGTTTTATAAGGTGTTGCATTGTTTTGGAACTTTTGAGGGGGGCGGAATCAAAACAACGGCCCTTTAAAAAGGAGGAAGGGAGACAAAGGGAGTGACCACATGGGCAGTGATTCAAATGAAGAAAGAAACCTACCTTGCTGTCTGACCCAGCAGTAACCTGCACAGCTGCTGCCTTTGCTGTCTGGTTTCATGTATCTCTGGACATCGGTGTTCGTTCTATTGAAAATAAACAAACCACGAAATTCACAAATGACCTTGGAGAAATTTGTGTGTGGGAGCTCACAGCAGGGGAGCAGCTAAGTGGCTGTTTAAAATGTAACCCTATTGTTTTTCTTTTGTAAATCTACAGTAGTGAGTAGAGTGGGTTTTTTTATTCTATGTTGTTATTAAGATCTGTCTCTTGATTAAACTTTAAAAATATAAAAACATAGGTACTAAGCTAGCCTGGAGCAGTGATTTTACAGCAGTTAGATTGTGCTATTTTCTGGGTCTGTAGGTTGTAAAGGTGCAAAGATAGCTTTCAATAGAGTGATGTGCTCTTCCTGTTGGGTATGGGAGATTAGGGAATGTTTCCAGGTTACTGATGATGATGTCTGCGGGAAGTGTGTTTGGCTGCGAATCCTATCGCTTGGAGCAGCAATTAGAGGCAATGAGGAATTTACAAGAGCTGGGGGTGTGATGGATGGCAGTCGCAGGGAGGGAGATAAACCGAAGATACAGGCAGGTAGATGGGTGACCTCCAGGAAAGGTAGGAGGGATAGGCCAGAAGTGCAGAAGTGGCTATCCCCATCTCAAACAAGTATGCTGTTTTGGAAAATGTAGCAGGTGAGGAACTCTCAGGGAAATATAGCACTTTCCCCTGACAGCCAAGTTTTCGTACCAAGTCTGGCTCTGATGTAACGATGAGTATGCCGGGTTCCAAGCAGTCGACTGGGCTTTCTAGTCAGAGGCACAGACAGACGATCCTGCAGCTAACAGTGAGACATCAGAATGGCGTGTTGCCTCCCTGGAGCTAGGATCAAATTTATCTTGGAGAGTGTGCGGAATATTCTCAAAGGGGAGAGGGACCAGCAGGAGGTCATTGTACACATTGGAACTAACATAGGAAGGAAAAAGGACTAGATTCTGAGGAAGGAATATAGAGAATTAAGCAGGAATTTAAAAAGTACGTTGTTGAAGGTAGTAATATCTGGATTACTCCCAGCATAACAAGAATAGGAGCGTAGGAATAGGAGGATAGAGCAGATGAATGCATGGCTGAGGAGCTGTTCAGGGGAGAAGGATTCACATTTTTGGATCATTGGAATGTCTTCTGGAGTAGAAATAACCTGTATAAGAAGGACGGATTGCACCTGAATTGGAAGGGGACTAATATACTGGTGGGGAGATACTCCAGAGCTGATCAGCAGGGAAATATGCTAGTAATTAAGGGTTGAGCACCCAGGAAGATAGTGAGGAAAGCGATCAGTCTCAGACTGGTACAGTTGGGAAAAGGAGTAAGTCAAACAGACAGGGCAGGCAGGAACAAAGTACAGAAAAGGGATTGATAAATTAAACTGCATTTATTTCAATGCAAGAGATCTAACAGGTAAGACAGATGAATTCAGGGCATGGGTGGGAACATGGGACTGGGATATCATAGCAATTACAGAGACATGGGTCAGGGATGGACAGGACTGGCAGCTTAATGTCCCAGGACACAGATGCTATAGGAGGGATTGAGGGGTTGGAGGGGTGGGGGAGGGGGGTTGGTGAGGAGGGAGGGGCAAGAGGAGGGGGGCATGGTGTATTTGATTAGGGATAACATTACGGCTGTATTTAGGGAGGATATTCCTGTGAATACGTCCGGGCAAGTTACTTGACTGGAACTGAGAAATAAGAAAGGGATGATTACTTTATTGGGATTGAACTATAGATTCCCCCCCCCCCCCCCCCAAATAGTAAGCAGGAAATTGAGAAACAAATTTGTAAGGAGATCTCCATTATCTTTAAGAATAATAGGGTGGTTATGGTAGGGCATTTTAACTTTCCAAACATAGACTGGGACTGCCATAGTGTTAAGGGCTCGGATGGAGAGAAGTTTAAGTGTGTACAAGAAAATGTTCAGTAGGTGGATATATCTACTAGAGAAGGTGCAAAACTTGACTTTCTCTTGGGGAAATAAGGCAGGGCAGGTGACTGAGGTGTCAGTGGAGGAGCACTTTGGGGCCAGCGACCATAATTCAATTAGTTTTAAAATAGTGATGGAAAAGGATTGACCGGGTCTAAAAGTTAAAGGTCTAATTTGGAGGAAGGCCAATTTTGATGGTATTAGTCAAGAACTTTCAAAAGTTGATTGGGGGTGGATGTTCACAGGTAGTGATGGCTGGGAACTGGGATGCCTTCAAAAATGAGAAAACGAGAGTCCAGAGACAGTATGTTCCTGTTAAGTTGAAGGGCAAGGCTGGCAGATATAGGGAATACTGGATGACGAGAGAAGTTGAGGTTTTGGTTGAGAATAAGAAGGAAGCATATGTCAAGTATAGACCGGAGGGAGTGAGTGAATCCCATGAGGACTATACGGGCAGTAGGAGTATACTTAAGAGGGAAATCAGGAGGGCAAAACAGGGACATGAGATTGCTTTGGCAAATAGGATTAAGGAGAATCCAAAGGGATTCTACAAACACATTAAGGACAAAAGGGTACTAGGCAGAGAATGGCGCCTCTTAAAGATCAGCAATGCCACCTATATATGGAACCACAGGAGATGGGGGAGATACTAAACAAGTATTTTGCATCAGTGTTTACTGTGGAGAAGGATGTGGAAGCCTTTAAATGCCTCTGAGGCAGAGAATTCCAAAAATCACTCAGTGAAGAAATTTCTCCTCCTTTCAGTCCTGAATAGCCTGACCTTTTTCTGAGACTGTGTCCCCTAGTTCTAGACCACTTCACAGGGAAACCAAAGTGTGAATTTTATTTTGAAGCTTTATAGTTTATACCAATGAATGGGAATTTGAGTTTTTTAATGTATGAGCATACAATCCAGGACAAGAGTAGGCCACTGGGCACTTTGAGCCTACTCTGCCATTCAATAAAAACAGTTGATCTGATTTTAATCTGTGCTGCATTTTCTTGTTTTAATTTAACCCCCATGGAAATCAAAAATCAAGATTTTACTCACTGCATGATTCACAATGAGACAAGTCTTTTATATCATTTTACTCTCCAGACTTGGTTTGGTTTTTAGATGAAGTATTTTAGAGTAATGCATTTCCTTTCTGAAATATGTCAGATGCTCAGTGTCTGGATTTCAATATTCTTTGCTTTAAACTGCAGGATTGCAGGAATATGTAGAAGCTATTTCGTTCCAACACTTTATTCGGACCAGAAGCCTCATTAGTCTTGAAACAATTAATAGGCATCTAATCTTTACTCCAACAGAAGTGGAAGCAGAGAATGCTGAGGTGAGATTTAGTTTCAATTTATAAATATCATGAGAGTATTCCTCTACATTGTATAGACTGGCTCATTTGAAAGTAAGTGACTTGACTTACTAACCTTTGTTTATTGATCTACACTGCACATCATAATTGTGTGGTCATTGGTATTCCAAACTTGCAAAGAAGTAGTTTAAGTTTTAATTTTTTTTATTCACTGGTGCGACGTGGGTGTTGCTGATGAAGCCAGCATTTGTTGCCCATCCCTAGTTGCTCTTGAGAAGATGGTGTTGAGGTGTATTATTGAAGTGCTGCAACCCACATGCTGTGTATTGATCCACAATGTCGGTAGGGAGGGGTTCCAGAATTTATACTCGGTGACAGAAAAGGAATGGTGATATATCTCCAAGTATGGTGAGTACTTGGAGGAGAACTTGCAGGTGATGGTGTACCCATGTATCTGCTGCCCTTGTCCCTTTATATGGAAGTGGCCATGGGTTTGGGAGGTGCTGTTGAAGGATCCTTGGTGAATTTCTGCAGTGCATCTTGTAGTAATGAACTATAGAAATATATGTTGGGAATTTGGAGCTGGTGATACCTCACAATGAGAAGAGGGATGAAAAGTAATTTAATGTCCATGTGAACAATGAGTAAAGAAGACTTTAATTAGGAGGAGGATCTGGAGAGGGGATGCATAGGCTTAAAAAGCGAAGTAATGTGGCTGCATTGCAGGGTGGCTACTTGGGTAATGATACCCGAAAAGGTTCAGGAAGGGATAGAGTATACAAATGGGGAAACAAAGCAGTAAGAAGTATGGTCAAATGGGAGAAACAATAGCAAAAAGGCAAGATTATTGACTTTTTATTACCTGTAGTATTTGGAACAAATTAAAGGAAATTATGCCACAAATAGATGTCTTCTAGCCATAGCATGTATGTGACTTTTTGAAATGACAGGTAGGAAGGACAGGGTGGCAGTGTAACTGTGTTAGTATGGGATAGAATAAGTACAATAGCAACAAATGATCTTGGATTGGAAGGTATAGAATATATATGGGTAGGGGTAAGAAAAGATAAGGGGAAGAAGACATGGTATAAATAATCTGTTGGCCCTTTAACAGACGCAGTACTGTAGGCAGAGATAAATCAGGAGGTAATAAGGCAGTACATTAATCATGGAGTCTTTACTCATCTTGTATATTGGGAAAATCAGATTGGCAGAGGTTGTCATGGCGGAGAATTTATAGAATGTACTCAGAGCAGTTTCCTAAAACAATGTCATTGGATCCAGCCACAGCATTACGAGGGTATTTTAGGAACAAAAACAAAGTTGCTGGGAAAGCTCAGAGATAGTAGGAACTGCCGATTTTGGAGTCTGAGATAACAGGGTGTAGAGCTGGATGAACATAGCAAGCCAGGCAGCATCAGAGGAGCAGGAAAGCTGACGTTTCGGGTCTGGACCCTTCTTCAGAAAATGAAGAGTCATTTCATTTTCTGAAGAAGAGTCCAGACCCGAAATGTCAGCTTTCCTGCTTCTCTGCTGCCTGGCCTGCTGTGTTCATCCAGCTCTACACCTTGTTAAGCTGGAAAAGCTCAGCAGGTCTGGCAGCATCTGTGAAGGAGAAAACAGAGTTAACGTTTTGGGTCTGGTGACCCTTCCTCAGAACACAGAGGGTATTTTAGATCTGGTAATGTATAATGAGGCGGGTTTAGTAAATGTTCTCAGAGCAAAAGAATCCTCAGGGATGCAAAAATGAATATGGGCTCTTTAGAGAATGAGACTGGGGAAGTAATAATAGGGAAATAGGAAATGACGAAAGAGTTGAATATATACTTTACCATCCAAAGATACTAAATCTAGGGGCAAAAGGTGGGGATGAATGAAATATAGTAACAATCACTGGAGAAAAGTGCTAGGGAAATTAAGGGGGTTAAAGTTAATAAATCGCCTGGACCTAATGAAATATGTCCTAGGATATTAATGGACATAGCTACAGAGGTAGTTGCTATGCTGGTAATAATCTTCTAAGAATCCTTAGATTCTGAAAAAGTCCAAACAGCTGGAAAACTGCCAATGTGTAGTACCCTTCTTCAAAATGGGAAGTAGACAATAAACAGGCAACTAATGGCCAGTGAGCTTAATACCTGTCATTGGAAAAATGTTATTCAATCATGAAGGATGTATTAGCAGAGTATTTACAAATGTATAATATTATCAAATAGAGTCTGTGTGGCTTCACTAAGGGAAAATTATGCTTGACAAATTTATTAGAATTTTTTGAGGAGGTAACAAACCACTTTTTTTTTAACGCAAAAGGGGAACCAGTAGATGTAATGTACTTGGATTTTCAAAAGGCATTCAGTAAGGTAATGCACATAAGGCTATTTAAAAAGATGAGTGCCCATGGTGATGGGGTACTGTATTGCCATGGATAGAGGATTAGCTTACTATTGGAAGACAGAGTAGGGGTAAAGGGTGCATTTTCAGATGCTAAGACTGACATAAGGATAAAGTTCTTCACCCAGGAATCTCTGCCACAGAAAGAGGTGGAGGCCAAAATATTGAATGTTTTCAAGAAGAGTTAGATATAGTTTTTAGGACTGAAAGGATCAAAGGGTATGGGGAGAAAGTGGGAATAGCTATGATTGTGTTGAATGGCAAAGCAGGCTAGACAAGTGGGCTACTCCTATTTTCCATATATTTTCTATTCCTTTTGAAACCTCATATGGAATCCTCCTCCACCACTCTCCCAGGCAGTGCGTTCCAAATCCTAACAACTCCTGAGTTAAGAAGTTTCTCCTCATTTCACTCCTAGCTCTTTTGCTGACAGTCTTGAAATTGTGTCTCATTGTGTATTATGCAGTGAGTAAAACCTTGACTTTTGATTTCGATGGGGATGAAACAGAATATTCTTTACACTGTTAAAATTGTTCATAATTTTGAATACCTCAATTATGTCACCTCTTATTCTCCTTGGAGGAGAGAAGATTAAGGCCAATTTCTTTAATCTTTCCTTGTATCTAAAATCCCTCATTCCTGGAATCATTCTAGTAAATCTCTTTTGCACTCTGCAGGGCTTGAACGCCCTTCTTTAAATAAGATGCCCAGGACTCATCACAATACTCCAGATGTGGTCTGACTAATGATTTGTAGATGTAGCATCATGTCCTTGCTTGTATACTCCATGCCTCTAGTTATAAACTCAAGGATCCTATAAGCCGCCTTAACAGCTGTTTCAACTTGCCTGGCCACTTTCAGAGAATTATGCAGGTGAACCCCAAGGTCCATCTGCTCTTGTGCTCCCCTCAAAGTGTACCATTGAGCCTGGATTATCTCTCCATGTTTCTTTTAACAAAATGCATTGCCTCACATTTCTCGACATTCAAATTTGTCTGCCAGGTGTCAGCCCATGTGGCCAATTTGTCAATGTCCCTCTGAAGTCGCTCAGCATCATCCTCACAATTCACTATTCTCCCTGGCTTAGTAACGTATGCATATTTGGAGATTTTCCCTCAACACCCATCTCCAAATTGTTTCTATAAACCAGAAAAAGCAATGGTTCCAACAATGATCCCACCACTTCCAGCTTGTCTCCAATCTGAGAAATGTCCATGTATACTTACCTTCTGTTTCCTATCTTTTAACCAACTTCTAATCCATGCTGGCATCTACCCATCAATCCTAAACATTTCTAATTTGCTAATCAACCTGCCATGTGGCAGCATATCAAATACTTTCTGAAACTCCAAGTATACAATAGTCACAGCACTACACTCGTCCATTGCCTGTGTCACCTCTTCAAAGAACTGAAATTTGTCAGATGTGACCTGTCCATGTTGACTGCCTTGTATTAACTGATTTTTCTCTCAGTGCATGTTTACCTTATCCCTCCATCAGTCTGCCCATTGTTGATGTCAAGCTGACAGGTCCATAGTTTTTTCGGTTAGCCTTTGCGCCTATCTTAAACAACTATGTCACATTTGTAATCCTCCACTCCCCAGGGATAAATTCTATCAACAGTTCTGCAATTTGTTCCCATATTTCTCTGTGTAATCTTGTTTGCATCCTTTCTGGGCCTGGTGACTTCTCTACCTGGAGTGCTGCCAGCCTATTTTAGCATCTTTTCTTTATCTATCAATATATTGCCTGGTTGCTCCACACCTGCATTTTTCAACTTGGCCTTTATCACCATTTTCTAAAACAAAAACAGAAGTTGCTGGAAAAGCTCAGCAGGTCTGGCAGCACCTGTGAAGAGAGATCAGAGTTAACGTTTTGGGTCTGGTGACCCTTCGTCAGAACTGCGAGAGTCAGCGGACCCGAAACATTAACTTCAATCTCTCTTCAAAGATGCTGCCAGATCTGCTGAGCCTTTCCAGCAACTTCTGTTTGTGTTTCTGATTTACAGCATCCACAGGTTTTTTTTTGTTTTTAGTTGCCATTTTCTAATTTGGTAAAGATGGAAGCAAAATAATCATTTAGTACCTCTGGCATATCTTTTGCTTCAGTGAGCAGCTTACCCTGCTTGTTCCTTATGGGCCTCAATCTATCCTTTACTAATTTTTTACTATAGATACGTTTGTAGAAAATTTTATTACTTGTTTTAACAGAGCCTGCCATCGTTTCCTCATGTTTCTTGTTAGCCTTCCTTATTCCAGCCTTAGCCTCTGTCCTGCATTTGAGATACTTTTCCTGATTTCTATTGCTACTTTTATTCTGGTATGCATCTAAGGTGTTCTTTTTCTTTCTAAATTTTCAAATCTAGTCTAGCTTTGGATACCCGTATTTATTCTAAGAGAGGTGTACCTAGCTTGCACCCTTATCTGTCTTCTGAAATTTTCTAATTTTTCATCCACTATTTTATCCACCAAAATGTGTTTCCAATCAGCCAGCTCCAGGTCAACTTTTAGATGCCTAAAATCTGCCCTTTACCAATCTGAGATCTTTAACATTGATTTTTATCCTTTTCAAACTTAATATTGAACATTATTATGTAATGATTGCTAATTCCCAAATGCTTCCCCACTCTGAAGTTCTCTATGTAGCCTGCCTGACTTCTCCAGGACCAGATCCAGCACAGCTCCATCCCTGGTAGGATCAGAAATGTACTGTTTCAGAAAGTTCTCCAGCACTCTTTGCAGGAATTTCTCCCCTTCCCTGCCTCACACTACACCTTTTCCCCAGTCTACCTAGGGTAATTAAAATCACCAATTATCACAACCCTATTTGTCCTGCAGATTTCCTTAATCTGCTGACAAATGCTGTCTACTACTTCCTTACCACTATTTGGAGGTCTGTAATAAATACCCATAAATTTACTGTTGCTTTCTGTTACTCACCTCCAACCGTGTAGATGTGAATTTGGGAACTGCATCTCATTCAAGGACAGTGATACTATCTTTGATTTAAGACTGCTAAACCTCTTCCCTTTTTACCCACCCTGTTTTTCATAAAAGCCTTATAACCCAGAATTTCAAGTATCCAATCCTGTTCTGGCTTGTGTCGCGTTTCTGTCAATGGCACTGTGTCATATTCCCTAGAGCAATTTCTGCTTCCAGTTCCCCAATTTTGTTCAAGATACTCTGTGTATTTACATACATACAATTTAACCCTGCCCTTATCTCTTTCTTGCCCATTGTTGGCGACCATTTTTTGTCCACTATCAATACTGAAGCCTTCCCTCACTATTTTTTCCCATTGCCCATCTTCTCTCTCTTGTCTTCTCTGGTATTTCTGAAACTAGGCCCATTAGTCAACTTAGACAGTTCCAAGCTTGGCAGGACCCTTCTATCCTTGCCCTGCTGTGTCTGACTTTGAAGTTCAGCAGGCCCTGCCTCCCGTGGCTTGTGGGGGGCCAGTTACCTCAGAGCTTAATAGTCTGTGTCGCTGCCCAGCCCCCAGCCAAAACAGCATAGCCTGCCTGTTGAACAGCAGCCCGCAACCATTTGCCTTGGGGCAACATGAGATATCACGATGTGACCAGAAATGTGGCCAAAGCTTTAAGGGGCATCTTAAAACAGGAGAGAGGGGTGGAGATGCTTGGGGAGGAAATTCAAGTGACTGTCACCAATAATGGAATGATTATTTAGGGTAGGATGCTCAGAATGCCTGAATTGCACAGAGATTTTGGAAGGTTGTATTGATCTAGAAGGTTAGAGGTAGGGATGTTGAGGTTATGGAGGCATTTGAATGAAGAATGTGAATTTTAAAAATTGACATTACAGAGTAGGAGCACATGTAGCTTAGTTAGCAGAGGGGCAATACATAAAGATTTGTTGAGGGTTAGGGTATGGGTAGCAGAGCACGATGGGACATGGTCAGGAAAATGTGACAGTCAAGTCAAGAAGTAACCAAAACCTGACTTTCAACATCAGATGATCTGGGGTAGGAGCAGAGATGAGCAATATTGCAAGGATGAAAGTAAATAAACTTGTTACTGAGAGGATGTATGGTCAGAATCTCAGGGGTTCAGATTGGATATCCAGATGTGAATTATCTGTTTTGCATCAGAGTGATCAAGGAGCAGGTTGGAGTTGGTGGCTAGAAAATGCAAATTATGACGTGACCAAAAGAAAAGTTCATCCCAATATTTAGTTTCAAGGAATTTCTGGGCCTGATGTTAGTTAAGTAGCAAGACAAATCCGGGGGTAGTGAAGTTGCCAAGAAAATTGGGTGTTATCAGCATATATACGGAATCTGATATTATGGTTTTTCATGCTGTCACAGGAGGGTAGTAAGATGATAACAGATAGAACAGGCTCCAATGCTAGACTCCAGAGGAGTTAGAATAAGAATTCGAGTGTACTGAAACTTTATTTTAAAACTTTGTTTCATTGAATGTTGTTCCTATGTGTCCCTCTCTGCCATTTGCTGTTTTACTGATATTCTGCAGAATGTAGTGATTAAAGAATTTTAATTTTACAACAAATCAAATCATTATTACAGGATACTATTAAGCCATACTTTTAGACCTCCAGCTCAAAGCCCTTGCATTATTTTAAAGTTTTTTGGTTTTCAATCCACTTTTCCTCCCTCACCAGGAGGAACAATGATATATTTTCATCTAATTATTTTGGTAATGAGATTTTGTGAGTAGCCTTGCTAGTCATATTTCCCATGTGATCAAAATATGCTGTTGCCAAGAAATTAGAATGTGGTAGTAGGATGTAATCATAAAATTACTATGTCAGTGATGACAAGCATGTAAACAATATCCAATTTTGGTACTGCTGTTTCCCAATGGCCCATTTATTTACAATTCAAAATTCAGATGAAAATGCCAAGAAATATCACATCTCACTGGGAATGCAGATGTGTTAATTGCATTTTTCATTCATAAATAACAAATTAATAGGTACCATGTATTGAATATGCCACCTCAATAAACAGAGAGAAAGGTAGGATTACTTTTACCTATTGTCGGGAATGCTCAGAAAGTGGTATTTTAGTACGAGAATCGAATAACCAAAAGGAACAAGTGCTGTCAAGATTTTATTTAAGCTTTTATAAGTAACTTTTTTCCTAATTGTTAATTACTTAAAATTCCTTTTGTTTTGGCAACTGATAATACTTAATGTGTACTTTTCCACTCTTGTTAATGCTCTTCATTATGCAGAAGTCAGCCTTATCTGATTCACAGGATGAGAAACAAGAACAACAACTTCTTTGCCTGCAAGTGACTCCCACAGACTACCTGTTGGGGATTGCAGATTTGACTGGTGAATTGATGCGCATGTGTATCACCAGCGTAGGCAATGGGGATATTGAAACACCTTTTGAGGTGAGCCAATTTCTACGTGCTATCTATGATGGATTTACTTACATTGGTAATACTGGACCGTATGAAGTTTCCAAGAAGCTTTACACATTGAAACAAAGTCTAGGAAAGGTGGAAGATGCTTGTTACACATTGACTGTGAGAGGCTCTGAAATTCCAAAACACATGCTTGCTGATGTGCTTAGCTCAAAAACAGCTATGAGCGAACATGAGGAAGGTGTATAACTTGAGATATCAACGGAGAAAGGGATTATAATAATAACTATTTGTTAGCTTTGTATGAGATACGTTTGTATAATTGTTCTGTTCAGTTGCAGGTTGTGCAACCAGGAGATCCAATATTAGATGCTTTTATATTTTCAGCAAGTGTTCAGCTGTAACTTGTGCAGTACATCACTGAATTTATTTTCTAGAGGTTGCTTTGGCTACAAATATAGTTGAATTTTTAAACAGGATTTTAAACTACCCTCCAAAGTACTGCTTCTGTTCAAAATAAGTAAAAACTTGTCCAGCTTTTTAAAAAAAAACAAATACATTCATTGTTATCTGAAGACTACTGCTGCTCCTTTCCAGGGAGGTCTATGAAGTCTCATTTATGACCTAATTTTGTTTTCAAATTGGTGATTGGCTATCAGATGGGTTTATCATTTTTCTCCCACAAGCCCTTTGTTTTAAGGGATTGGGGGTCAGTTTATAAATAGAAATTTCCACCTTCGTAGGAAAGTGCTTTTCTGCTGAATGTTCCACTTTTTGTGTCTCAGAACTAATTCGGTTGTGTCTTGGTAGAAACAATAAAAAAAAACACTGGAATTTTTACATTATAATTCCTAATTTAAATCTTAAGAATGAATCAGTTTATTAGGATTCTGTTGGTGATACAACTACATTCTTCAGACCCGTAAATTAAATAAGGCAGCTTTAAAGATGAAATTACAATTGTATACATTGTGAAACCAGAAAATGTTGGCAATAATCAGGTCAGGCAGCACCTATGGAGAGGGAGAAACAGTATTCATGTTTTAGGTATATTAATGTTACAATGACCTGAGACATTAACTATGTCTCATTCTCCTCAGATGCAGCTTGATCTGCTTAGTATTGTCAGCGCTTTTTTGTTTGTTTCAGATTTTAACATTTGTGGTATTTTGCTTCTGTATTTTCATATGTTGGCATGATTTGCATCTTTGGGTATGAAATCTTTTATTGAAGTTCTATTAAGACTTTATAAGTGCATAATAATTAAGAAAATTATTGCAAAAATTGCTGTTCCATTTGTGTACTTGCTTAACTAAAATAAAACAGCTGAAATAATGAAAAGTCAGAAATGAGTGATTAATTCCAACAATTTAAATCAAAAGCAGATCAGACTCGTTACATAATATTGCAAATTCTGAGAAAGTACACTTAATGTTAAACAATCTCAACATTACATGTAAGAACGTTAGTACATTTTCAGCATTAACAAAGTCTGAGTCCACTTACCACAAAGCAAGGAGGAGCTTACAGTAGGCAATACCACTTGAACAAAACTGTTGAATCTTTTCAGAACTAATTTTTCTCCTAGTCTCCAAATCATAATTACTTAGAACGTGTTGCTCTTTTGTCAGAGGATGTATAGTAGGCAATGAGTTTGAAAAGTGATTGGAGTCAAGGTGAACATATGAATTAGGAGCAGAAGTATGCAGCTTATTTACATTTCAGAAGTTCCTTCTTGTTCTAAAACAGTTATACCAATGTTCCAAAAGAGTTAAGTTTATTATTCTGTCATTGGAAAGGAAATGCTGTCATATACTGTGTTATGATGTTAGATGAGCTCTTCAGTATTATTTTAGATCCAGTTAGTGACTAGTAACTTTGTTTTAAAGTAGATAGAATTAGAAATCCCTTTAAACAGAATAGAGATTTCAGCGGCATCATGAACACTACTATCCCTATATAACTTGTGTGGGAGGCACATGTTGCACAGTCATACGCTATTATGTCTCACTGGGATAGTGTGCTGGAAGTTAAGCCCTGGTATTCCAAGGTCGTCATAAAATTCCCTAATTTGCCTGTTTTTCAGACCCAGCATGACAGAAAACATCGATTAGGTTTCTGTACTTAGCAAGAATGACTATTTATTACAAATAACAAGGTTCCAGCTACAGATAAATAATAAAATCAACTGTCACTATATAACGCTACCTTAAATTATTCTCTCCCCACCCCACTCTCTCACACGTTCACAACGTGCACACTTAGACAAGGGACAAAAAAAATGGGTATTATTGATGTATGAAGACTGGGGAGGCAGCTAAGTGATCCCTGTCCGTGGGGTTTGCTGAGATGAATCTTGCGCTGATCAGAAAGCTACCTCTCTCAGTTTTCCGGATACATTCACTTGATCATCTACTTGTGGCCAGCCAGAAATCCATTCCCTGGCTTCAGCTCATCTGCAAATTGGGCTTCTGCTCCTGCTTGAACAAACAGCTGTGTTACAGCTGGCAAAAATATGCTTATTTTGCAGGATTAACTGCTAATATTGAAATATAGAAATATTAGTTGCGTTATAAGTATAAAACAGTACCCATTGATTCACTGGAATTAATGTAACACTTGCAATAAAACATTTTTCTTTTTTTAATAAAGAAAATTTGCAGTAAAATCTTTTAGTAAAGTTGGTGTTTAATTTAATCTCCAGCATCTCCACAGTTTTAACACCTCTGCACATTTTGAGCATGCAAAAAAAATCATTGGGATGGTTACAGGGATGACAAACTTCAGATATGATGATAGAGTGGAGAAATTAGGACTGTTTTCCTTAAAGAAAAGGTTGACAAGAGACTTGGTAGCTCAAAATCATGAGGGGTTTGGATGAAGCTCAGCACCCGATAAGATATAGGAGCAGAAGTAGGCCATTCAGCCCATTGATTCTACACTGCTGTTCAATGAGATCATGGTTGATCTGATAATCCTCAACTCCAGTTTCCTGTCTTTGATTCCTTTACTTATGAATAATCTGTCTGTTTTAAGCCTTGAACATACATAATGGCCTGCGTCAACAGCCCTTCGTAGTAACGAATTCCACAGATTCATTACACTAAGAAAAGAAATTCCTCCTTATCTGTCTTAAGTGTGTGACCCCTTATTCTGAGATTATGTCCTGTGATGCTAGACACTATTTCTATTCATCTGTGGAATTTGGGCATCACTGGCTGGCCAACATTTATTGCCCACCTGTAGTTGCCCTTGAGAGGGTGGTGATGAGTTGTCTTCTTGAACTACTGCAGTCCATCTGCTGTGGGTTGACCCACAATGCCATTTGGGAGAGAATTACAGGATTTTTACCCAGTGACAGTGAAGCAACATTGATATATTTCCAAGTCAGGATGGTGAGTAGCTTGGAGGTGAACTCCAAATGGTGGTGTTCCCATATATTTGCCGCTGTTGTCCTTCTAAATGATAGTGGTCGTGGATTTTGAAAATGCTGTCTCAGGATCTTTGAATTTCTGCACTTCATCTTATAGGTAGTACACACTGCTGCTACTGAGTATCGATGGTGGATGGAGGAGTTGTTTTTGGATGTGGTGCCAATCAAGCGGGCTGCTTTGTCCTGCATGGTGTCAAGGTTCTTAAGTGTTGTTGGAGCTGCACTCATCCAGGCAAGTGGGGAGAATTGGATCGTCCCCTGACTTGTACCTTGTAGATGGTACACAGACTTTGGGGAGTCAGGAGGTGAGTTACTCGCTGCAGAATTCCTAGCTTCTGGCCTGCTCTTGTAGCCAATGTGTTTGTGGTGAGTCCAGTTGAATTTCTGATCATTGGTAACCCCATGGAGGTTGATAGTGGGGGATTCAGCGAATGTCAAGGGGCGGTGGTTAGATTGTCTTTTATTAGAGACGGTCTATGCCTAACATTTGTGCGGTGCAAATGTCACTTGCCACTTGTCAGCCTAAGCCTGGATATTGTTCAGATCTTGTTGCATTTGAATATGGACTGCTTCAGTATCTGAGGAGTCACGAATGCTACTGAAAATTATGCAATCGTCGGCAAACATCCCCACTTCTGACCTTTGTGATGGAGGGAAGGTCAGTGATGAAGCAGCTGAACATGGTTGGACCTAGAACACTACCCTGAGGAACTTGTGCACGGATGTCCAGGAGCTGAGATGACCGACCTGCAACAACCATGACCAGTTTCCTATGTATGACTCCAACCAGTGGAGAGTTTGCCCCTGGTATCTATTGATTCCAGTTTTGCTAGGGCTCCTTGATGCCACAGTCAGTCGAATGCAGTCTTGATGACAAGGGCTGTCACTGTCACTCTCACCTCACCTCTGGAATTCAGTTCTTTTGTCCATGTTTGAACCAAGGTTGTAATGAGGTCAGAAACTAAATGGCCCTGGCGGAACCCAAACTGGGCAACACTGAGCACGTTATTGCTGAGCAGATGTTGCTTGACAGAACTATTATGACACCTTCCATCACTTTACTAGTGTACAGTCTACACATCAAGGGTCGCCACAAACACATTGGCTACAAGAGCAAGTTAGAAGCTAGGAATACCGCAGCGAGTAACTCACCTCCTGAATCCCCAAAGTCTGTGTACCATCTACAAGGTATAAGTCATGGGACAATCCAATACTCCCCACTTGCCTGGATGAATGTAGCTCCAACAATACTCAAGACTTTACTGGTGTATAGTCTACACATCAAGGGTAGACTGATGGGGTGGTAATTGGCCGGGTTGGATTTGTCCTGCTTTTTATTATAGGATATACCTGGGCAATTTGCCACATTTTTGGCTAGATACTAGTCTTGTAATTGTACTGGAACAGCTTAGCTAGGGGAGCTGCTGATTCTGGAGCATAAGTCTTCAATACTATTGCTGGAATGTTGTCAGGGCCCATAGCCCTTGCAGTATCCAGTGCCTTCAAACATTTCTTGATATAAGGTGGAGTGACTGAAATTGGCTGAAGACTGGTATCTATGATGTTGGGAAGCACTGGAGGAATTGAAGATGGATCGTCTACTTGACACTTCTGGCTGAAGATTGCTGTGAATGCTGCAGCCTTATCTTTTGCACTGATATGTTGAGCGCTTCTATCATTGAGGATGGAGATATTTGTGGAGCCTCCTCCTCCAGTGAGTTGTATAATTGTCCACCACCATTCACAATTGAGCATGTCAGGACTGCAGAGCTTAGATCTGATCCATTGGTTGTGGGTTCACTTATCTCTGTCTTTCACTTGTTGCTTATGGCATTCAAGTAGTCCTGTTTGCTGGCTTCACCAGGTTGACACCTTATTTTCAGGTATGCCCAGTACTACTGCTGCCATGGCCTCTTGCACTGTCCATTGAAACGGCATTGATCCCCTGGCTTGATGATGGTTGAGTGGGGAAAATGCCAGGCCATGAGGTTACAGATTGTAATGGAGTACAATTCTGTTGCTGTTGACAGCCCACAGTGGCTCATGGATGCCAAACCTTGAGTTGCTAGATCTGTTTGAAGTCTGTTCCATTTAGCACAGTGATAGTGCTACACAGTATGATGGAGGTTATTCTCCATGTGAAGATGGAACTTCATCTCCACAAGGTCTGAGTGGTGATCACTCTTACAGGTATTGTCATGGACGGATGCATCTGCAGCTGGCAGATTACTAAGGATGAAGTCGAGTACATTTTTCCTTCTTATTGGTTCCCTCGCCACTTGCTGCAGACTGTTTAGCAGCTATGTCCTTTAGGACCTGACCAGCTCGATTAGTAGTGCTGCTGCTGACGTTGAAATCCCCAACCCAAAGTACACTTTGCGCCTTGCCACCCTCAGTGCTTCCTCCAAGTATTGTTCAACATGGAAGAGTACTGAGTAACCAGGAGGTTTCCTTATCCATATTTAACCTGAAGCCATGAGACTTCATGGAGTCCGGAATCAATGTTGAGAACTCTCGAGGCAACTCCCTCCTTACTATATACCACAGTGCCGCGAGCTCTGCTAGGTCTGACGTGCCGGTAAGACAGGGCCTATCTAGGGATGGAGATGGTGTTTGGGACATAGTCATACTCATGGAATCAATGTCAGGCTGTTGCTTGATTAGTCTGTGAGATTGCACTCCCAATTTTGGTACTAGCTGCAGATTTTGGAGAAGAGGACTTTACAGGGTTGACAGGGCTGTTTTTGCTGGTGCCTTTTTTTTTGATGCCTACATTGTTGCTAGGTGGTCCGTCTGGTCTCATTTCATCAAGACTTCGTAGTGATTGATACAACTGAGTGGTTTGGTAGGCC